ATTTTCTTGAAAATGTTTCAATCCATTCATCCATAATCATCATCATACACACTTATCCTAGTGGGGACATGAGGAGCTGGTTTCCATGTTTAGCTGTTAACTGGTGGGAAGTAAAATGTTTCAATCTGTTATCTAATGCTATAAAAACAGGCATAATCTACCATCAGAAAAAATTGTAACAAAGGCATGTTTCTAGCATGTCATAATATTTCAACGAATTTAATAAAATAATATAAATGTTTAGCAATAAACTGGATGAATCCAACACAGCCCGACTGTTCACCACTTTAGATATGTATGGATTTGGCTCTAGACTTAAAACTTGATTTTCTGATAATATTACAATTACTATCAGTGTGATGACGAGAAATGATTTAATAGTCACAAATGACAGAAAAAAAAAGGTTTCTGCAGCCAGAGGTCAACAAACACACACACACACACACACACACACACACACACACACACTGCGCTTGTTACTATTTTACTATTGTAGTAAAAGAGTTGGTGAAGCTCTCATCGAGTCAACAGGAAGAAAATCAAATAACGTAACAATTATGTCCATATTGAACGTTTTTGTAGTTAAATGAAAGAAATTTTTTTTTTTAAAAAATCCTATATATATATATATAGGATATATATATATATAGGATATATATATATATATATATATATATATATATATATATATATATATATATATATATATATATATATATATATATGTCCTAACACACGCAGCTGCCCATAAAACTGTACAAAATCTTTTTTTGTCTGTTCTCATGAAATAATTCTAAGATCATATCTGTATATCTTCTCAAAACTGTATTGATCGATCTCTTCCAAACATACCACAGGAAAAATTAAGCCATAGTAAAAAGAGGAAAAATTCCCACAAGACCAGAAGTTTAGTTTAAAACTTATTGGCTTATATTTATATCATATATCTAAATGTTGGGACTGTTGGGTTTTTGAAGATTTTGTACCCGGTGCGAGTTTATTCTAGCACCGCCCTTGTAATTTCATTTTATTTTTTGTTGTTATTATTTTGTATTTATTTATTTTTTCAATTGTGCCAGATAGACTCCCTCATTCCTATAATATACTAACAGCTGCTCTGTTTGTTTTTTCTGAAAAATGTCTTTAATTACTTGAAATAAATAGAGTTAATGAACACATTGAAAAAGAGGTTGGATGTCCTCCATGTGTTCAGGGTCATGCGGAGCTCTGGCTCCAGGTTTACCTCTCCTTGTCGGGCTGCTTTCACCTCCATGTCGTTTCTCTTCTGCTTCAGCTTGCAGATCTCTGACAGCAGGCTTTCCACCAGGGAGTTGGACGGACCGATGACCACGGGCTCATCGTCTCCCAACGTCATGTACATCCTCTCATGTCTGACCAGCCTGGTCTTCAGGTCAGCTATGATATTGTCCTTGAGGCAGAGCTGCTTGTTGAGGAGCTCCATCTCCCCCCGCGTCTCGTGATACAGGGTGTTCAGGACGCCGTAGCTCCGCGTCCTCTCCCTCAGCAGCGCGTCTCCCTCGGAGCCGATGCTGGCGCTATCCATGGCGGACGTTTTTTTTTTTTTTTTAAGTAGATTCAACACCGTCAGGTCTTTTAATAATAATCATCCAGCATTTGACGCCTCTGCCTCTCACCCCGTGTCTTTTAGAAATGCACCGAGGAGGTAAATTCTACCGGAGATTTGGCGCATCAGTGTCGAGAATAATCTCCCCGAACGGGGATTTCCTGGGGAACTTCCCCGCGGACTTTTTTTGAGCGTCGTCAAAACGGAGCCCAGCCTGCCTGCTGCCTGCCTGCTGCCGGCCGCCGTTCAAAGTCCCACAGCCCGGCGACACAGCAGTAAACTGAAGCCCCTTCAGACTGACGGCAATAATTGTTAACCTGCAAAAACTCATAAAAACACATTCAACTTTCTTTCGCTCGGGTTCCTTCGGCAGCGGCTGAAAAGGAAACGCGAATGCTGCCTTCAATGACGTCGTAATTTCGAGCTCTGGCGTCTTTGCTCGACACGACCAAATTCTCTTTATGCAGGCGCATTTCAGTCATTGAAAATGTTAACTCACATCAGTGATTGAGTAAAAATGGCTAAGCTAAAACACATTCATTCAAGAATGCATTTCTGTTTATTATGAAGCCATTGAAGAACCATAACACACTGTGTTATAGTGTGTATTATACTCTGATACACGGAGTTGTTACAGTATTCCAGTAATTTTATGGTTATCCACTGTTAAATATTCTAATACCACTAACCTTTTAACCCCCAAAAATATATGCTATGTTCATTTTGTCTAAATTAGACCATAAGTTAGACAAAATATAAATGTCAATAAGCATGGGGAAGCTGCAGACTTGAAAGCAGCCCTGCAGACAGACTCTGAGATCATCTATACAAGGGGGTCAAGCCACAAAGGTTGTTGCTAAAGAGACTGAACATAAGCATAAACAATACAAAGTTGATCAGAAGAAAAAAAAAAGTGTGATGGAAGATGTGAAAAACAACAACAAAAAAAGCCTTTAAGTAATATTTAAAGAATAGTGGGGAATTTTGAGGTTTATTCCATTTTTAATGCTTTATTGTATTTGAATAAATAACAAAAGCAAGTCTGAATGTCTGTAAATTATTCTTTTTGGGTTCTGAACTGATGACACTGAGGGTTTCAGCAGATAATTTACTGTATGACACAATAATCCCAAAAATGCCTTCATCTCACATGTTACGTGGTGTGAACATCTATTCAGTTCCCTTTAGTCAGACATGAATAAAATTCTTGTGTAGCCAGAGGCAGAAGAGCAACCAGCAGATTTGGGCACGAAGGCCTTGGCAACTCAGAGGAGAAGCAGAGATCCACAGCGCAGGTGGGAGAGTCGCCTGGAAAACTAAGTCGTCCACGTCATAAATCTGGCTTTAGTGGAGGAGGGGTACAAAGAAAACCATATGGAAAGAAATTCAAGTCTTTTTTTCAGTTTGTCTACTCCTGGGATCAATGAGTGATGAGCAGCAGGAGAGAGTCCATCAGGACAGACAAGAGTCGGAGAATTTTATACAGCTGTAATGTTCAATTCACATGTATACCAGTGTTTATTATTATAATTTACATAAATACAAGTTTATCTTTATGGAAGTTTTTTTTTTTTTTTTACTTTTATTGAATTAATGCACTCTGTTAGAAAATGTATGAGAAATGTTAACAGAAACAAACTGATAATGTTAAAAAATGTCATCAATTCAGTCAGGAGATCAGATTTCTCTAAATCAAATTGGAATAGATAGACTGAGAGAAATGGATGTCATTTTTGCAAAATTGTCTTAATTCAGTTGACAAAACAAGGACAACTTCCAAAAAATATTTTTTGTAACCTGGTGTTATTTACAGTTCTCGTCACATTTATGCAGTTATTTGAAATACATTTTTGTAGTAAATGTAACGTGACAACATGAGCAAACCTTTTCAGGACTGTAAGAGAGGGAAGCATCTGTAGTCTAATGTTTTACCAGGCAGATGCTAATTTATTTACTAAAGTAAGGAAAAATTAACTGTAAAAGGTCATTTCAAAACCAGTCTTGAAATATGATGATATTAATAGGTTTTTGCATTACGTAAAATAATCCAGGAACCTAAGCACTTTAACTTTCCAAAGAGAAAACAATAATAGAATAAGGAAGGTAGGAGTGGGAGGTGTTATTATTAGTGAATTCATTATCATCCACTGACCTCCATGTGATTCAGCATGGAGTACTTCTCTTAGTTTACTTTCACTCACTGTGGGCTGCTTCGGTATTTCAAACATGTGGTCAAGTTTGACTTTTCTTTTTTTTTCTTTTACAAAAAAAGTGTGGTCTGAGTTGTGGTTAGAGTCGAGCACAGCAGCAAAGGACACAAAAATCATCACCATCCCACAGATTTTGAGCCTTTTGTTCCATCACCCTAATCTAAAATATGCATTTATGTATTCTGAGTGCGAGTAGATGCATAACGCAACAGAAGAGGGGAATATTATGTGTTCTCATACCGAAAATATTATCACATTTTATGACATTGCTAGAAATCTCCAAGAACATATGTAGGCTAATGTGTGTTTGTAGGAAAGTCATTGGGGAAAAACTCAGGTTCCCTCAGGTTGATGGTGGACTACAAAAACAATTAATGTATCTGAACAAAGTGAAACTGCTGTCTAGACTGTAGGAGTGTTAAATTCTTTTCTGGCATTCATTCAAGAGGTTAATCAGACCCTCTGGGCAGCGGGGAGTCCCAGGTATTCCTGGGTTATACAGACCATGACACTGACTGACATCTTCTGTTCTGAGGTGAGTCACAAATCAAATGACTGTCATATGAAAGCATGAATATATATATATATGTCCAACACGGAAGTATCTCTTATGTGTTGGACTCTGAACTGGTTGTGTGTGCTGTGTGTAACTTCTTCACATTTTCTATTACCACGTTTCTGAATTTCAATCCATTCGTGCCATCATTTATAGAATTGGAGCTCTCAAAAGTTTGTGTAAGGGTGTGAAAAACTGAGTTAATATAAAATATGAGACTTTGAAAGGAACCCAAAGTGTTCTTTCCTGATATCTAAAAAAAAAAACTCACCAAAAAAAATTACATCTAACTGTAGTTTCATGTTGATTCATTTCTCAATGAATTGTAATAATAACTCCACCTCCCTCCCAAGCACACACACACACACACACACACACACACACACACACACACACACACACACACACCACACACACACACACACACACACACACACACACACACACACACACACACACACACACAATTATCAGGATGATTAAAATGGGTCATTTTAAACTTCCAAGCTGCAGCTGAACTTTCTGGTGTTTTCACTGCACATCAACGCACCGCCACTTTCAAATGTTACCACCGCATTCCACTAGAGGGCAGTGTTCAACTAAGACTTATAAATCACACCAGATCATTTCTAACAGACGACCGAACGAATGAAAAAGATTCAAACTTTATTCTGAACACTCATCCACATAGGCAACAAATTGACCTCTTTAAACATGTAGCGAGGAACACCTGAAACTACATACGTGGCAATATTGTATATTTACATCAGAAAACTTTAAAAATTATTACATTAGATTAAACAAGCAATAAGCTCATTGCTTGTTTAATCTAAACAGGTAATAAACTCATACTTTACTGTATATTGAGACACTGATGGTTATGACCAGATTTTGCTTGGAACAAACAAAATCATTGAAGATGCAGATCCTAATATTAACAACCAAACAAACAAACAAGCATGAAAATGAGCGCTAGAGTAAAAAAAAAAAAAGTTTTATCTGAGGCTAAAACAGCAGTTGCTCACATAAAACAGTCTACTAATAATATTATAGGGATGAACAGGAGAATATAGCCAGCTATCTCTCATATTGACTTGAGAAAATACAGGGAATATCTAAAAGTACAAATACTGTCTAAACATCTATGAACACACACACACACAAGCATCAGACTCAATGTGCATCATGCAAAATTAATCTGTCTTTATGTATCTGACACAAAGGCTAAAAATACATCTGAAAAAGCTGGACAAACATGTAGAAATAATATTTTCATCCTTTTTCTTTTTTAATTCATTTCTCACCTCAAAGCTGTTTTTATTTTGATGTTAAGTCACAATCACTAAAAAGTACTTGTGGAGCTTTAGAACAGAAGAGCAGGATTAAAAATGTAGCTGCATTCCATCTGCTCATAATTTGGTAGTTTTTAACGTTAGAGTCAATGGCCCATATAGTTTGCATGTGATGGTGTTCTGCTCCACCTTAAATACAATCTGAATGTTATTTACATGGACTACTGGGAGGTGAAGGAAAAACTCATTTTTATAAAAAGACATGGTATTCCCCAAATGTCCACTAGGGGGCCAAGTTCAATTTACAGTGAACTAAAGATGAATAAAACAATTGTTCATTAATGGAGTACATTTCATAAACGTGAGGACCTCCCACAACTTGTATCCTATATATATTTAATTGGATTAAAGCACAATAAAAATATGATTTATCTTCAATAAAATAAAAATAATAATAAAAAAAACAATAGTGGAAGAATCTGGGATATGTAGTGTCTGAGACCTCGGAGCAATCTGTTCTCGAGAACAAACCAAAAAACATCTCAGCTTAACAGAAAAAGCTAAACTAAATTTAACCTAAAATCTGGAGCCTCCTTTCTTTCCTAACACTGCATCTTACGAAGGCTGCGGGAAATCCTCTTAAACTCGGGCTGTCCTCTCTGCCAGCGCTTCAGGGAGGTGATGACCAGATGGCTGTCCATCTTCTGGCCCATTACCAGGTAGGGGCCGTTGATGTCGTTCATCTCCTCACAGATACACCGCATCCCATCCTTCAGCCACAGCACTGTCCTCCGCAGGTCACGCTCCGTCACGCCGTTCATCGTGTAAATGGTCTTGGTCTTGGTCTCCGGTACTATTTTGGTGTCACCATTAATGTAGGAGATCTCCTTGACTTTGATCTTCATAACTGGAGATGGATGTGGAGGGAAAGAAAAGAGAATTAGAAATAAAATCAGCATTCAGCACTTTTATTCTGTCTCTGCTTTTTTCTGACACGTCACATCATATCAGATGCTGTTAACGTACAACTAGTCAGACAATATACAAAAAACAGTTTTAAAAGGGTGATTTTGTTTTTAAGGGAAAAAAATCTATTCATATGTCAATGAAAATACAAAAGCTCGAGTTTTTAAATCTTGGTTAAACTGTGATTAAGCATTCTGGCTGAAATAAACAAGCAAGACCAGATCAGACCAGTTCTGATAACTGTCTGACCTCTAGAACAGAACCTGCCTGACAACATGAACCAGGATAACATTTGGTTTTGAATCAGAGAAATTCAAAACCAAATGGGAAGCAAAGTCATATCCATCTATTAGTCTGGAAAAGGGTTGCAAGCACATCTTTAGACTGCTGCAAATCAGATAGAGCCATTTCCCCACAAACGCCCAACATTCAACGTACTGCAGGCTTCATCTGTCTGAGTTAGAGTCGGTGTTCGTCAGAAAGACGCTGAGCAAACAGAACATCCATGGGAGAGATCTGAGTTGTAAACCACATCTGACCAAAGAGAACAAAAAAGCCTCATATTTTCCTAAATAATCAGAACAGTAACATCTTGATGATTCTTTAGGTTTTAGGGAAAATATTCTGTGGACTGATGACACAAAAGTGTAACTTATCAAAAGAGCAGACCTCCAGTCGAACATAATAGTAGTAATGTGATGGTCTATTACTCCTTTGCTGCTGTAATTGTTGTTGGAATCAGGAATTCTGCCTCCTGCCAGAACTTCCTTAAGGAGAAGATTTGGCCTTCAATTTGTGAGCTTGGATTCCATCCCACTATGCAGCAAGTCCACCTCCGAAGGACGGAGAAAATACAATCAGGTGTGGATTTACATTTTATTAAGATGCTGTGGGAGGACCTTCAATGTTCAATGGCAGTCGCTGCCGACAGTGGCACAACCAGGTGTAAAGTTTAGGAGGAAAAACGTTTTTCAAATATGGCTAAATTAACTAAAAGAAAAACCAACCAACAAAATAAAAATAATAATAATTGTTTGAAAAGTGATTTTTTTTAAATAATATTGACTTGGGTTGATTTTGTCCAATATCAATACAATATTGTGGATCTGAAACCTTTGCACATGATGAAAAAAAAACAAAACAAAACAAACAAAAACAAAAAAAACAGAAGAAACCTGTAAGATGGTATGTGTTTTTATAATGCTGTAGAATCAGAACTGTAATGAGAATAAAATGCTGCAATAAAAATCTGCAAGACCTGACAATTTCTGTGCCCCCTGCAACAAAGTAGCAACTATGCAGCAGTTACAGGCTCTGTGATTTTCTTTTTCTACTTATTGAACATATCAATAAATAGAAAGATTTTGTCATAAAGTCAAACATTTCCTTACTACTACGTCAGGCTCTTTAACAGAAACTTCAACACATTTTTAGAAAGTCTTTCATACATTCCAGTCCTTAGAAAATAAATAAAATAAAACAAACAAAAAAAAACATTACTGAGACCAGAACAGACAGCTCTTAAAGAAAAGGAAAAAATATTGATTGAAACATCTTTTCAAAGCAAACTGCTGAATTTAACACAGCAAAGTAACTTTGATGTATAATCAGGTTTGTGCTCTAATCAGAAATACACACACAAAAAAAGTTAACAAGAGCCCAAAACCAGGATCCTATTTCACAAAGGGAGTGCTTGCGGGAAAACCTTTGGATTTAAAACACGTCTTTTCTATATTAGGTATAATTTTGACCGTTTCCCTTGTTGTGTGTGATGGAAGACCAGCTCTCTCTTCAAAACACCAAGACGTAAAGCCATCTGAGAAACTTAAACCCCATAAAAAGTGCATGAGACATCTGGGTCAAATGTACACCGTTGAAGAGTTTCCCGAAAGTGACTCACATTCAGCAGTTTAGGTTACTCTAATTCTGCCTTGAATTTCTTGGAACCACCTCTGATGACCTCTTGGGGCCTCTGCAGTTCACCCTCGGGAATAGTAAAGCTGGAGCACTTACCAAAATCATTCTTGCACAGACTGTCAACGATTTCGTTGCCATTTTCTTCCGTTTCTTTGCAAGCATCACACACCCTGGGCACTGAGAGAGAATTGGAAACGACGAACACTGCTCAGTTTCCCATAACTGAACATAAAATTGTACTCATGCACTTACATTTATAACAATGTGGTGGAGATTAGACGCAGGCTGAGATGCAAACATTTTAGTGCGTGCATATAAATGCACGCACTAAAATACGCACAAGACATTGCATTGAACACAAACGCTTCAACTGAGAGTTTTGCAGATCTCTACCCTCTCTGGTGACAGGCACGACGTTCTCAATGCTTGCAGGCGGAATGCACAGGTCGTTGTCGGGCGGGAAGCGGTTGCAGTCCAGCATCTCCGGCCACGGGTACCCGAACGCCAGCATGACGGGCCCGCATCCGTGCTTGACGCTCTCGCACAGCGACCTGCAGGGCTGTATGGCCTCGTCCAGGTCGTCCAGGCAGACGGGAGCGAAGAGCGAGCAGAGGAACTTCCTGGTGTCGGGGTGACACTGCTTCTGCACCAGGGGCGTCCAGGACGAAGCTTGCTGCAGCACCTCATTCATGGTTTCGTGTCCCAGCAGGTTCGGGAGGCGCATCTTCGTGTACTCTATGTCATTGCAAAGCAGGAGATTTTCAGGGATTTGCTTGCAGCTGTTCTTTTTCTGGAATAAATCGTGCTGGCCGAAGTTGTACAGTCCGTGGATGGCGCCGGTGGAGGCTATTACCACCCCCCACAAAACGGTCACAACTGAAATCAAGGCTCTCATTCTGCGTCTGGTGTTGGATTGTTCAGGCTGCAGGCTGCTGTGAGGATGGAGCGTCTGTCAGTGACCAACTGCTGCTGCTCACTGGAGCTTTT